AAATTATCTGGGCATGGTGGCACCTGCCTGTAGTTCCAGCTACTTGGAAGCTGAGGCAGAAGGATCACCTGAGCCCAGCAGGTCGAGGCTGCGGTGGCTGTGAGCGTGCCACTGCACTCCAGCCTGGGTGATAGAATGTGACTCTGACTCAAAAAAAAAAACAACAAAAATTATTTACAGTTCTTATCCAAATGTAGGCTCCCCTTCAGTAGATCTGAAGTGAGACTTGAGATGCCTTATTTCTAACAGAGCTGCTGTTGGCTTCTAGTTCTTGGAGCTCATTCTGAAGATTAAGAGTCTGAGCTTGGGATCACAGAGCTCTTTGAGAAATTGAGGAAAGCTACGGGCCCTTATAACAGTGAACTTGCTCCCTAGTTGCTCCCCCCACCCCACTCTCACACACCAGTGCATAGGATTTCAGGGAGGTTGTGAAACCTTTGAAATCCACCAGCATCTTAGTTTTGATTGTAGAAGTGGTAGTAGAAAGACACTCATAATACATAGCAGTCTTTCAGTCAGTATCGCTCCTAGTGCTTTTATAGAATGGATGCTACTTTAAAACCAGGAAAGCACTGTCCTGGTTACCTGCAAGTTAGAATGCATGATCCTGTGGAGGGCCCTTTAAATTTAGCTGCTCTGAAGGTATAAGGTTCTGAGATGAGGAATTATGGAATCTCTGGCAAGAGTGGTGGGCATGGTATGAGTCACATTGCTTCATTTGACAGGCAAGACTAAACGAGTTAATGTCAGCCTTACCACCTCTGCTTCCAATGTTCCTAGTTACCTGGATGATTTTGTGTTCATAGAGGTATTTGTTGGTAACAGTGATTTTAAAATTAAAGATCTAGACATATTAGGTTAGTGAGTGAGTGAAAATTAGCTCACTGTAGGAATGAGAGGAACTGAGGTGTAGCAATATGTGGTAGAAAAAAATGCAGTGAGTTGAGTTCTCTGGTTAGGCAGATCATGTTGTTGGTAGTTGAATCCTGCAGGAAAGTTATGATTTTATAAAGTATTTGCTTTACAGCTACATGAACATGGGGTGTCCCTGAAGCAGTTCTCGCTTTTGGGTCCACAGTGGTGTCACCCAACTCCTGGTGGGTGGGAGTGGAAGCACTGTCTGACTGGCTTGGAAGTGTCAAAACAGGCCCTGTGAAGCCACTGCAGATCCTGAATGGTGTTTACTGCCACATACTCTTTGGGTTTTATTGTTCGTGGCTGGTATTTGTCTCTGTGCATCCTGTGCTGCCCAAGATGTTCCCCCTCCATCCCAGCTGGTTTCCCCACACCTGAGTTATTGTAAAGTAAATCCCAGACATCATATCATTTTCATTTGTAAATATTTCAGTATGTATCTCTAAAGGGTTAACTTCTTTTAGTCATGTTATTATTATCACACTTAAAATATTAGAAATAATTCCTTAATGCCATCAAATATCATCAGTGTTGCCATCTCCTTACATACGAGGGGGACCCAAAAAAAATCTGAAATTTATTTATAAAAAATTGTTTATTTATTCTTACACGTTTAAACTTCAGTCACTTTTAAAGTACTCTCTGTTTGATGCAATATCAAGACCTATCGAGACACTTTTTGCACTGGTCAAAACAGTTTTGAACTTGTCAATTTTTTTTTTTTAATTTTATTTATTTATTTTTACACTTTATTTTTAAATTTTATTTTAAAAATGTGGGGTACAATTCAGAGTTAGGTATACAAATGTTCATTATGCAGATACCCTTGTTGATGAGGTGTACCCTCCATCCCCTGGCAGTTTCCCTCAGCTGTCAGTCCCACTCCCCTTCCCTAGCAGTTTTCCGCTACTGCCAACCCCTTTCTTATAGTATTATGATAATTGTTCAAGGTTCACTTATAAGTGAGAATATGGTACTTTGTTTGCTTCTGTGTTAGATCAATGAGTATGATAGACTCTAAATCCATCCATGAACTCGTCAATTTTGATGCCTTTTAGTGCTTCTACCATTTTGTGTTTTACTTCTTTCACATCTGCAAAACAATTCCCTTTAAGGATTTTTTCATCCAGGGAAACAAACCAACAAACAAAAAAGTCAGGGCGAGATCAGGTGAATAGGGAGGACCAGATACAGGGGTCATGCCATTTTTGGTCAAAGCTGCTGAATACTCAGTGTGGTGTGGGCAGGTGCACTCATAAATCACCTATCATGAAATGGGCAAACACGTTGGAAGAATCTCCAAAAAAAATTCATTAAAGCGAAATGCAGCCTCTCACAACAATATTAGCTGGTACATGGATGTCAGTGGGTTATCTGGGAGTGTGTGTGTGTTGGGGGGAGAAGCCTCTACTACAAGGGGCCCACCCTCAAAAAATTATTGTTTTTTGGGGGGTCCCCTCATGCCTTATAATTTTTAAAAATGTTTTTTCTGTTTGGTTTAATACCCAGTTGGTTGATACATCTTTAAAGTATTTTTTATCTGCAGGTTTCCCTTTTATATTTATATTCTTGGCTGTTTGTCAACATTGTGGAATATGCTGAGTCATTTATCCTGCCGCCCCTCCCATGGGCTGGGTTTTGCCAATTCCCTCTTCCAATGGTTTTGGCATATTCCCACAGGCACCTGCCATTCCTGCTGGTTCCGTGTAGATCAGCTCTAGGTCAGAATCAGGTTGTTTGGGTGAGGGAAGGTCACTGGGGCAGTAATGTGGATACTTCAGTTAGGAGGCATACCTGGCCTGGTTGTCTCACAGTGGCTGGGCTGGCAGCCATCGTTGGTGACTCCCTAGAGGCATTAGTTCACCGGGGGTGGCAAATGGTGGTATTTTAATTTTGTCACTACTTTTTTTTTTAGTTGGAGTATCTCTAAAAGAGAAACTTTGCTTGACAGCTGTTTGGTTACCTTGAAGTACATATAGATCATTTAGGAAATGCAGGATAAACACTTGATTCTTTCTCTTTATTTAACAGTTTTCAAAATAATGAGACAGATCCTTAATTCTTCGAAGGGACCATTGAGTTTTTATTTTCTCTTATGAGTTTCTATGCTTAAGTATGTTCTCTGTGTTTCTGTTGGTTTTTATCCTTTTTGCTGCCCAAGTTTCTCATTTTTGGCCAGCAGGAACTTACTCAGGGTCACTTCTGAGTCCTTTTAACTTGTATTCGTTTTCTCTTACTGTGTAACAATTTATGTCAAAACTTAGGAGCTTAAAACGACATGTATTATCTCACAGTTTCTGTGGGTCAGGAGTCTGGGTGGAGTTTAGCTGGGTTTCCCAGCTCCGGGTCAGCCACAAGACTGCAGTCCAGGTGCCAGCCAGCTCCTGAGTCATCTCCCCAAGCCCATCTCCTGGCATGACAGGGGGAGCTGCTCCCAGGCCCCCTTGTTCCTTGCTGGGTAGGCTTCTTCCCAGCAGTCCTCACTACGTGGCCTCAGGCTTTCCCCATTGCTAGGGTTGTAAGAGAGAGCCTGCAAGCCAGAAGTTATAGTCTTGCTGTAATCCCATCTGGGGAGTGATAGACTATCACTTGGGTGTGTTTGTATTCTATTCATTAGAAGCAACTCACAAGGTCTAGCTACACTTAAGGGTTGGGATCACCCGAGGGCATGAACACCAGGGAAGCATGGGGCCATACTGAAAGTTGCCTGTCACAGTCCAGGTAATCTTTGATAGTGTTCCAACTTTCTTGTGTGAGATGGTTTAGGTATTTGGATTGAGTCATTTCTCTAAGGAACCCTGATTGTTTTAGCTGAAAATGGTATTTATAAGCTATAATTTGTGCATAAGATTCTAGACCTTTTCAGTGGACAAAGCTAGGGAATTTTTTTTTTTTTAATTGCAGATGAAGTTCATGCCACTTTTTCCTATTCAGATTCAGGACTATGGAGTTTTTACTTAACCTCATCAACCTTATGTTTGTATCTTCAAAAATGTATTTCATGTATTATTCCACAATACATACATATACACACAAATCTCAGAGTAGTGACACATACTTTACTACCAAAAATATCACTAAATGTGGTCCAAGATTTCTTCATGGTTCGTTTTCTCCTTAGGATGTAGTCCATTACAGTGTACAGTCAAATTCCTCCATACAGTTATAATTGAAATAGTTTCTCACTGTGTGGTACACATTAGGTTTATTTGCTTCAACTTACTTTTGAGTTTTAGTTTTTTTTAAATTTTATGTTTGCATAAATTAGTTTCATCATTCCTAAGATGCCTGCAGACCAAAGTATAGTCACAGAAATCTAGCTTCTCTTCCTGTTTTCCTCTACTTCATTTTCTTCTTTCTGTGTAGGAAGCCTTTTGAAAAATGCATAGGTTTAAGAAATGTTTTAATATAAGTGGTACCATTTTATCTATCCTTTTCTCGCATCTGTGTCCTCCACTTAATCGTATGCCCTGGTGCCCACACTACTGCAGCAGATAGAGCTCGTTCTTACCTCACTCCAGTGTGTAGGTGCATGGTCAGATATTCTAGAGAATTACACTGTTTAGCAGTTCTTTCGTATTCCTGTTCTGCTGTTTCCTGGGAAATGCAGTTTCTGAATGGGTGTAGAAAGACGGTGGGAGGAAGAGCAGTGCCCCAACTGCTTCTGGAAACAGCATCTGGCTGTAACCACTTGGTTTTCTTCTTCGTTTTTATTCTGGGTAGTGGGATAAGGTGTCTCTCTCTTTGTAGTCAGAGGGGTGGGCTGCTTTCTTTTTTTTAATGAGTCACAGCCCTTCATGGTGTCTGTCATTTCATTTACTCTCCTGTTGGCTTTACACTTGGAAATCCTTCTAGGTTTTGACACTGTATTATTTGTCAGTCATATTTTTTGGTGGTGGCATCCATTATTTGTGTCATCATGCTTATGCTAGTAAAGATTTGGGAGGAAAGGTATCAGGGATTGCCCCTCAGATGCCATTTAGAAATAAAATCTCATCTATAAAAATTAAATAAAACAAGTGGTTTTCGTTCTGTTTTCAGCAATTTTTTCTCTTCTAACCAATTATGAATTGTTTGTGTTGCAGGGAAAAGGACTTGGAGGCCAATTTCATTATTCAGATGGAGAAAAACAAAACAACAATCACAAACTTAAAGGCAAGTAGTGAACTGGCCTCGCCCTAGTTCCAAGAGCCACATGTTTGCTCTGTTGTGAGGATGACTTGGGGGTAAATAAAACCGGTCTGTTTTCCCACATTGTCCTTTCTCAGTGCCGTCAGCCACATCTGCTTGCTCGTAGAGGAGTCAGTCTCCTGTTTTCTCTTCTATCCCTTTTTTTTTGAGTTGGAGTCTCACTCTGTCGCCCAGACTGGAGTACAGTGGCCGCTTCTGGCCACCGCAGCCTCGACGTGCTGGGCTCCAGTGATCCTTCGATCCTTCCGCCTCAGCCTTCCCAGTAGCTGGGATTACAGGTGTGTGCTACCACGCCCAGCTAATTTTTTGATTTATTGTAGAGATGAGGTCTCACCTGCCCAGGCGGGTCTCAAACCCTCGGGCTCAGGCAATCCACTCACCTCAGCCTCCCAAAGGCACGAGATTCCAGGCTGAGCCACCGAGCCTGGCTGTATCCCTGGCTTTATTTGATCCAGAAGCCAAACCCATTGTTCTCGTGAGTCTATCCCACATCCACATAGTTTCTGGGTTCCCTTTAAGCATATGGCAAGGTAGATAAGATATATGCAGACATCTGTAATAATCTCACAATATGAGGTGCTCTGGCAGAATCTAGGCTGTCAGAACTTTTAATTCTGCCCACACCCAGGCATTGCCATTCTTTGTCCTTTGTGGTTGGGACTTGGCCTGGCAGTAGACTACATTCTGTGAACCATTAAGCAAACTTTGGCCTATATTTGTTTTCATTTGTAATGAAAACCATCCTAATTTGTAATCCTTGAAGAAGACCTGGTATTAAAAATTTAGAAGATAAAAGATTAAAACAAAATCTTTTTCTGAAAAAAAACCCCAAATTTTCCAAAATGTCATGTTCTTCCTTTTGCACTTAAAGTGTCCTGTTTGTTTCTTTGGTTAGAAAATTTGTTAAGGATCCAGAATACTTTTCACATGGGGGGGGGGGGAAGGGTACAAATCCCGTGCTCTATGGGTTCAGGACCTTTCTCCTTTGATACTTGCCATGAACTTTTAGGTTTGGGTTTCTGAGACTGGCTATTCCACAGCCAAGTACAGATCTGTCTCCTATTCACGTCTGAGGAATGGATTTCTATTAATATGTGGCTCAAGGGACTGGACACTTTGAGATCCAATTTCCAAGTAGTGCAAGTTGATCTCCTGTGATAGAAGAGGAGAATGCTGCTATCTTCCAATTGGGAAGTGCTCTGGGTCATTTGATAGGCTTCCTTTGAGGCTCTAGTATTTCTTTGCCCAAGCATTCTCCACTGGAGGCCTTTCTTTTTCTGCTTAGCACCATCCCTGTACATTCCTGCTCTGTCTGGCCTTCACTGAGATTTTCATCCTTTGGCCTCTGGCATCTTCTTGCATTTCTTCCATCATCACTTGTCCCTGCTGGTAGTTGCCTTTTCTTTGCTTCAGGTGTCCTTGTTTGCTCATCCCTCTCTGGATGAGTCTCCTTTCTTTATGTATCATGGCATTCATTTTTCTAGACCACTCTGTTGCTTTTTGAGTTTTATAAACATTTTCTCATCTGATGTTTGAGTAATCAGAACAGATGCCCAGATTTTAAATGTTTTAATAAAGACCTTGACAATTTTTTCCTTATAATGTGTGAATCATATTGGAAAATATAGTGCCCATTGAAGTAATCCAGCATATGTTTGAAGAACTGTGTAAGGTTTTGGGAGTATATGAAGATTTTTAAACACAGTTTTCGAGTTCACTTTAAGCATATGGCAAGGTAAATAAGATATATGCAGACATCTGCAATAAACTCACAATATGAGGTACTCTGGCAGAATCTAGGCGGTCAGAGGTTTTAATTCTGCATAGAGTACCCAGGGGAAGCTTCATGGAAGAGGAGGCATCTGATCAGGAATTTTTTATGGGGTCACCAAAGCCATATAATTCTAGGAGGTCCCAATCTCATCAAGATTTATGTGAATAGCACCTGCTGGGGCTGTGCAAAGCCTATCTCTGATGGATTTAGATGGACGGAACAGTGAACAAAAATTGTTGAAGTCTGGTTGAAGTGTTCGGTTCTTAGAAGTTAATCATAATGTTTAAAAAGGATCATAGTAATTTCCTTGGGTCATTATCACAGAAAGCTTGGATTGTTGGGAGGAGTTTAGGTTGTGTTTAAGTTTTATTTATTTATGTTTTTAGGATGGCCAGGAAGAGCTTTTTAGTCAGAGTGAAAATATGGAAATTGGTGATCATTTGATATTTTTAGGAGACAGTTTTTGTTTCTTTTAGTCATTTGCCGAATGGCAATGCTGTTTATTTTATTATTCTCTGTACATTATTATTATCATAATTATCTCTTTCTAGATACCAGAAGGAGGGACTGGGGACTCAGGAAGAGAACGGACCAAGACCTTCACCTATGACTTTTCTTTTTATTCTGCTGATATAAAAAGTCCAGATTATGTTTCACAAGAAATGGTATGAAATAATATTTTCAAAATCTTTAATTTATTTTCATATTGAGAAAACATGCCTATCCTAAAATACTTTAAAATACTTGCTCATTTTTTCTGCATATAATTTGTAAAAAATTTGCCTTTGTGAACTTAGTTTTTTGATGTCACATGGGACCATTTATTTAAACCTGAGAAGAACTCAATTCTCAAAGGTTAATTTTTTTTCACCTCTTAACATGATGATTATAACTTTTAATTTGTTTTGAACTTGGACATGATTTCTGTTTTGAAGGTGCTATACAAGGAAAGCATTTTGGCCTGGGCATGGTGGCCCACGCCTATAATCCCAGTACTTTGGGATGCCTGGCCCCATGGGTTTGAGACCAGCCTGGGCAACATGGTGAGACCTCGTCTCTACAATTAAAAAAAAAAGTTAGCTGGGTATGGTAGCATATGCCTGTAGTTTTGGCTACTTGGAAGGCTAAGGTGGAGGAATCGCCTGAGCCCAGCAGGTCAAGGCTGCGGTGGCTGGGAGTGTGCCACTGCACTCCAGCTTAGATGACAGAGTGAGACTCCAACTAAAAAAAAAAAAAAATGCATTTTGGGGGGAACATTCATATACTACTAAGCCTGGTGACTAAGGTACTTGACCTTGAGTCCTACTGTGTGTGGAACTTTAGAGTAGACCTTAAACCTGAGTCACATTTTCCCTGCTTGTGTGGATCGTTCTAGTTTCTAGAAAAGATTCTATAAAGAAAGAATCTTTCATCCAGAATCTTTTTAGAACCTAGAATGATGCTGAGATTTGTCTGAGAAACCTGCCTTGGAGGCTTTTAAAGAAAGAAATGTAGATGTGAAGCAGGCAGATAAGAATAGACACAGGGGTGCCCCCAGGAGACTGTGGAGACACTGATGTTGCCATTTCATGTAAGCAGAGGATAAGAGTACAAAGGGAACCCCCAAATCCAAAATTTATTTATAAAAAATTGTGTGTTTATTCTTACATGTTTAAACTTCAGTCACCTTCAAAGTACTCTCCGTTTGATGCAATATGCCTAACAAGATGCTTTTTCCACTGCTCAAAACAGTTTTTGAACTCCTCCATTTTGATGTCTTTTAGTGCTTCTGCCATTTTTTGTTTCACCTCTTCCATATTGGCAAAACATTTCCCTTTGAGGACTTTTTTCATCCAGGGGAACAAAAAAATAAGTTGCTTAGGGCAAGACTGGGTGAATAGGGAAGTTGCTGTTTTTTTGGTCAAAACTGAACACTCAGTGCAGTCACCTATTTGTGACAAGTTGGCATGTTTCTTCTGCAAATCGTGATGCAACTTTCTCAAAACATCCAGATAAAAATGTTGGTTGACTGTTTTATCCAGAGGAACAAATTCTGAATGTACTACCAGGGACCCACCCCACCTAAAAGATAATTCTGGATTTTTTGGGTTCCCTCTTGTATTTTTTGGGTGGGGAAAAGTTGGGTATTTGGGCAGAGTGGGGTCATAAAGGGGGAGCACCAGGATGGGTGGAAAAATACAGGCTCATCACATGGCCTCTTTCTGACTTGTCAGTAGCTTCTTAAAGTGTGTGATTCAGATCTCCAGGTGCTAAAATAGTGATAAGAAGTCCTGTCCTGCTGACCCTGGATTGTAATCCATGCAACGGCATCATGAAAAGTAGAGCATGAAAAACATACTAGTTTCTTGCAGCTTGAAGTATGTTCACGTACCAGAATCATCTATATTGCCATGGAACTTGTTAGAAATGCAGAGTCTCAGGACCTATTCCCACTGAATCAGATCTGCATTTTCTTGCAAGACTCCCAGTGATTTTTGTGCCCTTTAACATTTGAGAAATGCAGTTGGTATAGAAATGGTTTGTGGAGGAGGTCATATGAATGTCGGAGGCAAAGCACTAGAGTGCCTGTATCCAGAAGATACTTAGTCCAACATCAGAGAAAAATAGGAGTTGATGTGATGGTGTGTGCTTATAGTCCCAGCTACTCAGGAGGCTGAGGCAGGGGGATCACTTGAACCCAGGAGTTTGAGTCCAGCCTAGGCAACATAGTGAGAACCCATCTCTTAAAAAAAGTCAGGGAAAAATAGAAAGGAACAACAGCAATGGGAATGGGAACCATACAGAGATAGTGTCTGGTGTGATAGAGAGACAGGAGAGGAAGGGTGCACTGGTGTTAGTTGAGCTTGCGTTGGCATGTGTGATCTCATTTGATCCTCACAAGAACCAAATGTGGTCTATTTTAACTCTTGTTTTTCCTTGTTGGAGAGACTCAGTAAGCTCAAGGAACTTGCTCAGTTCATAGACCTAATCAACTTTTAATAATGGCAGAGTTGATACCATGGGGCTGTTTTACAGGGCAGCGGTGATGCCACTGGAGGGTCATAAGGATGTGGGAGAAAAGGAATGGCATGTTTCAGATGACAGATGAATGAATAAATGGAAGTGTGAAAGTGGCTTTGCTGTCAGATGACTTGGATTATTCAACATCGGTAGCTAGGAATCTGGTGAGAAATAGGATGTTATATAGATGTTGTAGATACTGGAATTTGGCCTTAATATAGGAATAAGCAGGAAATGGCAGTTGTGAGGGAATTTGTTAAGGGAAAAGTCTGTTCATTGTAGCGACTTCCAGAACCTTTTTAATAGAGCAAGAATGGAGAACCCTTCAGGTCTTCACTTTCAACTTACCTCTTGAACTGCTGTATTTCCCCCTACCTAAGTTGAACTTGAGGTCTTCTGGGACAGAGGGCTGTGCTGAGGGAAGGCCAGGGAAGGAGAAGTAGAGAGTTGTATACCAGGAGGGCCTGGCATGCTAGAGATGCTCAGTGGATGTTTGCTGACCGAATGAATTCGTTTATGGTTGGTAGTGAATGTATGGGAGCAGATGACATTCTTCTGGGTTCTGCAAGAGTCAAGATCAGGGGTGCAGTAACAAATTTAGCTCTTTTAGAAATTAGAAATAAATGCCCAGATATAAAAAATAGTTTTAGGTTGTGAAAAGCTTTCAATCAATACGAATAAGTTTAATGCTTTAGATGTATATGCAACATCTCTGCTTAGATGCGGTGTGGTCTTTATAGGAACAACCTGAGATTGTTCCATTAAATGACAAAACTAGGAAAGCCTTACGATGTGTTAGTAAACACGACTGTGCAGTGGAGCCATGAGTTAAATGCCAGAGACACAGGAAAATATCTATTTTTAAAGTACTCTGTTAAAGAGATGACCTTTCCTCATCCCCAATTTTAATACCAGTTGTTACTTAAAAATGGCTTCAATTTCAAATACTGACTAAAGTTTTCATGCTGCTGTTTCAGGCACAGATAACAAACTGGCAGGTCATATCCCAACTGTAAACAAGCGTAGCATGATGCTGGCCCCCTTTTTAAAGTCATTCAAATGTAAAGACATATTGAGAAAAATATATTATGCTTGTTACTATAGTTCAAGGCCTGTTTCCTTTGGCATTGAACAAATACCAAGTAAGATAACCATTAGTATTTCTTTCTTTCAGACTAATTTTAGAATTAGAAAAAAGAATCAATGAGCAATTTAAATCTATAGTCATATAATTTTAAAACCATTAAATAAAGTCTGATTTTCTTAATGGTTTTTCAAAACTCCAAAGGGAGGCTTTGATCTCACACAGCCTGTGCCTTAATTCAACCCCAGAGAAACTTGAAACCTAATATCTCCCAGCTGACAAGCTAGAGGGGAGAGTCTTCGTTTTAACAGTGCCCTCTTGTGGGCAGTTCCCCTCAAGTGAGACCCCAGTGATGTCTTGGATTACTCTGGAAATCAGCTCTAAAGTCTGTGTTCTGACTAGCAGCAAGGTGGATTTTGGGTCACCAGGCAGGTGAGGAGTCTCAGCAGGGTTTCGATGCCGATGGGGAAGGGTCTGATAAAGCAGGCCTTCCCTTTCTACCTCAGCAAATCCTCTGTGGGAGCTGTGAAGGGGTGGCCTGATTTCCTCACCAAGACCCCTAGAGATATGGGCAGTGCCTGCTGCTTCACTGGGTCTCAGCACTGACTTTGGGTGGATTACTTGAGGCTCACTGGAGAGTCTGGGACTGAGCCAGTTCTGGGTCACTATGCCTCAGGGCCTTCCTTTTCTAGATACATTTACAGTCATGTCCACCAGTCCAGCTTCCCCTGAGCCCCTTGAATTTGTCAGAAAACTACCTGGGTTAGCTTTCTTGAACATAAAGAAATATATTTTAACTCTAGGGAAGAATTTTATTCTGAAAACCTTGATTTGGTTTAAATATGATATTTTCTATGATTTCGTTTTAGCCCCAGACCAAATTATGGGAAAAGAAGATCCTTCTTTTAGTCTTTGAGAAGTTTATGGAAGGCTTTTTTCCTATTCAGTGAAATCATAAAAATGATATTTTATATCATTATATTTTGTTTAATAGGAGAGAATTGGAGAAGTGTTTGGAATTTTTACTCATGTGCTCTGTCACAGTGAAAATGAAACTGAAAATGGTGGTCTGGAGTTCTGAGTTTCCCTGGGATTCCTGGCTTCTGTTTTTTAATAGAAGTTTGGGGGGAGGTCACCCCATGTGAGTTTGGTGCCTAGTTGTTAGTTTAGAGCAGTGGTCACCAACCTTTTTGGCATCAGGGACTGATCTCACGGAAGGCAATTTTTCCATGGACTGGGTGGGGGGATGGTTTCGAGATGATTCAAGTGCATAACATTTATTGTGTACTTTATTTCAATTATTATTATGTTTTAATATATAATGAAATAATTATACAATCACCATAAAAAAAGAGGTACAGATGAAAATGGTAATAAAATAATGGACAGGCTACCTGCAGACTAAAATAAGTGTTGGTTTTTGACTTAAAGCCTGCCACCAGGACAACCCCCTTAGGTCTCCTCCCACTCTGGGAGCTTTTCTGGCTTTTCTGTCCTTTCAATAAATCATGTTTTCTCACCTTCTAGCTGGCAGGCCTAAAAAAAAAAGCCTGCCACCAGATGCAGCTGTACAATTAAGATACATCCACCCACTTGCCACTTCCTGATAGGGTTTGACAGGAGTCTGCAAGCAACTTTATTATGGTCTTTGTGCAGTCAAACCTCATGGCTAATGTTAATCTGTATTTGCAGCTGCTCCTTAGCACTAGCATCACCGCCTCAGCTCCACCTCAGATCACCAGGCATTAGATTCTCAAGGAATTAGATTCACATGGAGTGTGCAACCTAGATCCCTTACATGTGCAGTTCACAGTAGGGTTTGCACTCCTATGAGAATCTAATGCCACTGCTTATCTAATAGGAGGTGGAGCTCAGGTGGTAATGTGAGCAGTGGGGACTGTAAGTACAGAGGAAGCTTCACTCACTCATCTGCTTCTCACCTCCTGCTGTGTCGCCCAGTTCCTAACAGGCCACAGACCTCTGTGGCCCAGGAGTTAGGGATCCCAGGTTTAGAGGGTGTCGGAAGAAAGGCTTACCTGTGCCACTCCCTGGTGTGCCCAGTTGCCTGACCTCCCTGTCAACTTCCTCATCTGAGGAATGGCTCTAGTAACACTGCTCACCCTGTAGTGGTTTTATGAGGACTAATAGCAAGCACACGAAGGAGCATAGGCAGTGCCCCGTAAGTGTGAGCTGCTATTACAGTTGAGAACTGAGTAAGTCATCAGAAGTTGAGGATAACACCAGAAACTATCAGCTCCTAGAGCTGAATAGTTAAAAATTAAGTCAGAATGAATGAGACTGGCCACTTGTGGAAGTGACTCAATTGAAATGACTGTTTGTAAATCTTTAACTGATGAGACCTAGGAAACAAAGTCCAAACAAGACGGTCAGAAGATGGTGCCTGAAGAAAGCCGAAGTCCAGTGGACTGTGTTTTTTCAGCTCATCCTTGAATATCAGGCTGTGTTATTAGCAGGGAAGTTTTGTGTGGAGCTGAGATTGAGATGACCAGGTATATTGGCCCTGACTAGGGTGTGAGTGTTCTGGCCAGAGGAGAGTTGTGTCTGTATTCCCCTCTGGCGTGGGCCCGTGCACATCCCAGAATCCCTGGCCTTCTTGTGCTGATTGGCAGATGTGAGTGCTCTTGGCCACTTCCCAAACTTTGCTTTACTTTGAAATCACATGGGGAGTTTAAAAAAGCACTGATGCCTTGGTTCACACCCCCTTAGATCCCTGTTTAACTGGGTTGGGTTACTGGCCTGGCAGTTTGACCCGTCAGAGCTTCCCAGGTGATTTGGATGTGCAGCCCAGTTTGAGACCTGCTGCCCCCGGTGGTTTGGCGATAGTTGGAGATTACTTTCTGGTTGATCTGTCTGGGTCCCATAAGTTTGGCTAGTGTGGCATCCTTCACAAACAGAATCTCCTGCAGGAGTTGCTGAGACCAACCCTGGACTGTGGTGAATCCACAGAGGAGCCCTTCACCTGTTGGGGGCTCTGGCTGAGAAACTGACTGAGCTTCTGTTTAACGTCTCTTCAGCTGCCGGTGTGCCTACTTTTTGAAGCAGGGAGATGTTTTATGTGTCCTTAGTGGGCTGGACAGAGAGGAAAGAAGACCACATTAAAGCTTAGCTTGTCCCTTTTCAGCTGGGTGGAGCTGGGTTTACCTCGAGTCCTGATTTGTCTCATTTACATCAATTGCCAGGGTGAAGTTTCTTCACCCCATTTCATACCCACATTGCAACTATGTGGTACATCAGCTGTGGACTCTGACTATGGACTCAGACAATCATAGGTGTGACCCTGGCCCCAGACAGCTTGTCTCCCTACCCTGTCCATCCTGGGCAGATGTCCAAATTGGAAAAAGCATCTGGACACTGATGTGGGGGAGCCTAGCCATTCCAGCCTCATCTGTACCCACCTGTCACTCAGCTCTGTGAACATCTGCCCAAATTTATTTTGATGAATAGCTGGATCCTTAAAATGATGGCATTGATTTGGCATGGCTTAGGCTGTAATTTCTGTCCGCTGTGACCTTCAGGCTTTGAATATTTAGTTTCTGGAAGCTATGATAGAAGTAATAGCTTTATACATTTATATAAGTCTGAATGGTAAAAACATGTGCTTTAAAATTATCTTTGTTTCTAGACATGATTGTCACTTTGCCTTGTTTACATTTTTAGGTTTCAGGAATGTTTCTGGTAAACTTAAGCAGGAGAGAGGATGGGGTTGCTTTTTGTTTGCTTAAAGTTTATTTTTGATTAAAAATGGGGGTACATACTATTTTATTGTTCACGGTTCTGCAGTGCTGTATTTGTATGGCATAATCCTAAAAAGAGAAAGTAGCTTTCAAGAATATTGTCAACATTGATGGGGCTTTTATTAAAATCCATGGTAATTATATCTTTTGTGTGTGTTTTTTTTTGACTTTCAGGTTTTCAAAACCCTCGGCACAGATGTCGTGAAATCTGCATTTGAAGGTTATAATGCTTGTGTCTTTGCTTATGGGCAAACCGGATCTGGAAAATCATACACTATGATGGGAAACTCTGTACGTTGTTTATACGGTGTGGGAAGGAAATTTTTCATTATCTTTCTTTGGACCAATAGAATTATCTTTTTTATCTACTTGGTCTGTACTAACTTACTTTTCTGATCATTCTTTAGTAATAAGATAAAACTCAGTACTAAGTTGGACTAAATTTCCTTTGAGAGATTTTAAATTAGAAATAGTTTTAAGTTTATAAGTATGAATAATGGATGCAAGTCCCAGTTCATTTTCTGTTTTTAAAGGCCTTATAATCTTATCAGAAAAGTATGTTGAGCCCATAAGTAATTTATTCTTCTTTTCTGCCAACACACAGTTTGAATAAAATTACTGAAGTCTGTTCTTTTTAAGTTATTCAAAACATTTTTCTCCAAGAAAAATGTAAAAAAAGAGAAAGTCTAACTCTTTGATGGAAAGGTACTACATAAATCCTGCAAATACATACAAAAGTTAGTTTTATGGTTTATAGAGTTCATATAGTTATAAACACAGTATATGTAGTTTAGTAGTTAAGCTATCTAAATTAACAGACAATAATGTTATACTTGCCCCCAAATATGAAGGAGTAAGAACTAGAAATTATGGGAAGAATTTTATCTCTTTCTGTATTTTCTCCAGATTTAGATCTTGCTTGTGTGTTATTTTTCCTATGTTGTAGTGACAGCTCTGTTCCAGACCTGTCCAAAGCTGTGGCATGGTCTTGCTGTGAAGATACTAGTGTAGGATGGAGGGCTTCCTGTGGGCAGACACACGGTGTCTTTAATACTGAAGTCTTGGTGGTTCCTGGAAGTAGTGGGTTAGGGAGCAGGTCTTTCCAGATGAAATTATCTCAGTGCATGTGACCTTACTTCTCAAACCCAGGCTTTTCCTGTACATGAGATGCTGATAAGTGCTGTCCTGTAAGTCTTCAGTGCTGAACAGGGAGGATCAGATGAGAGAAACAGACAGATAATGTCTTGAGTTTCACGTTTCCTTTTATCATAACTTCTCTCTTCCTACTTTCCTAATGTGCCTTTGCGGGGGGTGGGGGGAGATTCTAAAAATGAAATTTGCATGTTGATGCCCTAGTAACTATTTTATGTAAGTCAAACATTAATGAAGCACTTATAAACTACAGGTGAACAGGTGTTTTTCTCTGACCTTACAGAATTGAGTACTGCTTGGATATTCTTTTTATTTTATTTATTTTGAATTAAGAATCCAAAATATGGTGAAAGTGTTATTTTTTTTCTTGATAAGAATTGATACTCATTTAATGGTACAAAGAAAAAGTAATCTTTTAAAGCCTTGATGATAGTTTTATTTTTTGGGTGAGGGATTGGGTGAAGGCAAGGAGAGACTTGAGAAGAAAACATTGCCACTCTGAAGTTTTGGTTTCCTGGCCAGGACACTTTGCATGATCTTTAGTATTTGTTCTGAGGTGCCTCAGCTTGTTCATGCTGACTGAAACATGAGTATTATTGAATATCACACCCACATTGCATAAGTAATGCAATGTATTAAAATCTTTCCGTCTAGGAAGGACAGTGTAGGGCTTACTATGTCAGTGAGGGGCATAGCATGTGTTTTAATGTGAGGACTTTCTAAGGTTTTCTTGGTGTATCTTTTCTGCTTGGTGTGTATTTACCTTCTTTGGACATTTGACCAGGTATTTTTAGCATTTATTCTATAGCTGCAGACCATCTTGTTTGAGAAAGTTAGAGAATGAATCTCCTTGGATTTGCAAGCCATGATTTAACTGATTAAGAGTTGATAACCATATAATCACCAGAATCCCAGTATGTAGAAATGAAAATACTCAATGCTCTCATTTCAGAGAGTAAGAAGCCATCCAGGAAGGGGGTAAATGGTGTGTCTGGGTCCTGGCATGGTAGGCGAAGGGTTTCATGCAGGCCCCTTGAGTCCAAGTCTACTCCAGCAAATTGCAAATTCAGTCATCGTTGCTTTTATTTCAAGTTGTAAGATTCTTCCTTCTCATTGCAGGGTGATTCTGGCTTAATCCCCCGGATCTGCGAAGGGCTCTTTAGTCGGATAAGTGAAACCATGAGATGGGATGAAGCATCTTTTCGGACTGAAGTCAGGTAGGGACCGTGGACTTGAGTAACTGAACTTGGTTGGAGCCCAGGCTGCTGGGCTTGCTTTTAGGTGCTGGGCATGGATAAAGCCTTTAGATTTCTAAAGAAAGAGTCTGCCCTTTCCCCTCCTGTTCTTATGGTAAAACACTATGCTCTCAATGATTTTGTTGGGACAGTTTGTATAAAGATTTGGGAGGCTGGTAGAAATAACACAACTTGGTCAGATACTAATGTAGGACGTTATCTCAAATGGAGTGAGCTTTTGACTTTGAAGTGTATACTCAATTACTTGCCTCATTCTTTTAGCTTGGTGAGATGTGTATGATTCTTTATGTTGTAGGATCATTATGAATCTAATCTGTAAATAATTCTGAATGGTTGAGGTTGTTTTTACTCCTTGAAGTTAAGCCTTTTTGGGAGTTCAGTCTCTTTAGTTGTTTTGAGGGCAGACGTGACTATTAAGGGTTCTCCTGGCTGTTTGACTGCTGTGTGACCTTGAGAAAGTTCTTTAAATCACCCTGAATCTCTTTTGCCTAACTAAAAAATGAAATAGGAGTGACACCTACCTCTGAGTTATTATAGGGATTTAATGAAATAATCCATGTTCGGTGCTTAGCATAGTATAGTCCTCACTTATGTTGTCTTGTCCATAGGTTCTTGGAAACTGTGATTTAAGTGAAAGGATGTCTGATGAGATCAACTTTTTTTCATTGTTTTTTTTTTTCAATGTTATAAGCATTGAAGGAAATGGTGTTATTCGAGGTCCTGCTGCACTTCATTTCACTGGAAATCACACTTTCTTAGAACCTATCAATGACCTCGAGTGAAACTTATTACAGTTGATACTTAGTCACAACCCATAAATATATGTTGCTGCTGTTATATATTGTCATTGTTATTAGTGTCTGAAATAATTTTTACGATTTCAATCTCATTTAAAATTTTTAGCTATTTAGAAATTTATAATGAACACGTGAGAGATCTACTTAGGCGAAAGTCATCTAAAACCTTCAATTTAAGAGTCCGGGAGCATCCAAAAGAAGGACCCTATGTTGAGGGTAAGAATGAATATTTCACTGCCCTATTTTTCTTGGGAGTTTGTATAAAAATAATACTTTCAAAGAAAAATATGTAGCATAATTATGAGATTTAAAAAACTTGTTTAATTTTGGAATTTTATGATAGCAAAAATGTCACGAGTTGTCACTACACAGTGTTTATTTAGTGAATTCGTACTTCACTGGACATGCCATGATTTTGTGAGGCTAGTCAGAAAATCTCCTCTGGCTTTAAGAAATCTCTGGAAATTCATTTTCCAGTGTTCTCAAAGTAAGCAAGCCTATAACCTGTCTTTTTAAATGCGTTGCCTTTTAGCAATAGTATATCTTTACTGACTCTATTGATAATACATGACAAAAAGGTTATTCTAAGACCTCTTGCCTGTTAAGATGCGCGTGTACAAGATTTCATCTGTGGTTCTCAGCATCTATGTTGTGATACATTGGTTGTAGCATGGTCAGTTGTCAGGAATGCCACAAGTAATGATGGGGAAAGGACTGTCTTTCCTCATTATTTAAAAAATAGGCTGGTTTTCAGGGTATCCTTGTAATGAAGCTAATCTCCCTTATTCTGTATAAGGCAACTTATAATGGCTGTTCTGCAGGGATCTCACAGAGACATGCTTTCATGTCCTTCGTGTGTCTCTTTGGACAATTCTGAGAATTGGAAAAGGGTTTAAAGCTGCTCCAAGTTTTGGTTATGTTTTTTACCTGGAGATATCAGGTATATTAACAGAAACCCATCTGTATTTTATTAAATTTCCATTTAAACTTTTGCCTTCTATGCCCAAAGCAGAGTGAGCTACCACATAGTTGTTTTGTGGCATGTGGTATAGCAATTACTGTTAATGGTTTTTAGCTCAAAACATGCCTTCGTTTTCTGATAAGTGTCTTACCAGATGTTAACATATAAAACTGGTATATGAAGAGACAGAATAATCAAACAAGGTAAAGCATTCAGACTCGGACCTAGATACTTATAGAAATTTAGTTTTTAATAAATTTGCTATTCAAACATGGGGAGAATCATTGGGGAATTATTAAACTGTCTGGGAGGACAAAAAAAGTAAACAGGATCATAGCTCAGTTTTTGCACCAGGATAAATGATAAATAGATCATAGATTTAAGTGTAAAAAGTTTAGTGATAGAATGAGTACAAGAAACCATGAGTTAATTTTTTTCCAGAAATTTAGAGGAAGGAAGCCTTTTAAAAACTTGACTTAAAACTCAAACACTGTAAAATAACATTTCAAATTTAACATTTTTTAACAAAGAGAGCAAAACAAAGCTTTATGCTTAGCATAAACACTGTAAGCAGAGTAAACACCTTAATTACAAAATTGGGGGAAATAGTTTAAATTCAAGTTTAAGATAGAGGACTGATTTTCCTGGTATATGAAGAGTGTCTATAAATCAATGACAAATCCTACAACCACGTAGAAGAATGGACAAATATGTGAATAGACTGTTCATAGAAGTGAAAATACAGATGATTTTTAAATGAAGGAAAGAATGCTCGGCCTCACTTATAATGAGAAAAGCAGAGTAAACATACTTTGGGATGACATTTGTCACCCATCTTTGGCAGATGTAAATAAGTCCTATCAGGCAGTGTTGAGGAAGACGGAGACAAATGCTCTGATTCATTGCTGCTGCTGGGTATAAATTGCCCTCTGTGGAGGACAGTTTTGCACTAGCTATCAAAATTACAGATGTCCATTGGTCTAGCAATTCCACCTCTAAGAATTTATTCTGTAGAAACATTTGCATTCATCTGAAAACACCTGTGTACAAGATTGGAAACAAAATATAAACAACCTCTATAGCCTGGATAGGAGACTGGTTAAATTAGTCATGGGAGACACACAGTCAAATACTCTGCAGCCTTAAACATGAATGAGGAATCATTGATACAGAATGTTCTTTAATATCACATGCAAAAAGCAGGGTGCAAAATAGTGTTTCTGATATGCTACCATTTGTATGAAAGGGGAATATATAGTTATATATAAATGTAATTGCCTGTATGTGCATGGGTTATTTCTAGAAGGGTGTGTAACATTTGGTTGCTTGACAGAGGGGAATGGGGGGACCCTTTTACACAGGATAAATTTTGTAACCTTTGACTTTGGAACCATATAAATGTTCCCAAAAAATTAATAAATTTTTGTGTTAAGGATTAAAAAAAATACTTTTGGGTTTTGCATGAAGGTCGTGCTTTTACGTTTTTCTTCTGTGTTGTGCCTAATGTTAATGAGGTTGATTCTAATAGTGAATGTCCTAAATACCATACATGATGGTACGCATCATCAGATGAGGTAACTGAGGCATAGTGAGGCTAAGCAACTCGTCCTTGACTGTGTAAGTCCTCACTAGTAAGCTGCTTGATCCCAGCAACCAGCTCCCGAGTCTGCATCGCATACCACCACACTACAGGGACAAGTGAGATCATTACACAGGTCCACAGATTTGTCGAGCTGTGTATTATGTCATGGAGGGAAATTTTGTATTTTTTTTTACTCTATGTTAGGGGGACTTCTTTACTCCCTCCATTTTTTTTTTTTCAGATTTATCCAAACATTTAGTGCAAAATTACAGCGATGTAGAAGAACTTATGGATGCAGGAAATATCAATCGTACCACGGCAGCGACAGGGATGAATGATGTCAGTAGCAGGTCACATGCCATCTTCACCATCAAGTTCACTCAGGTAAGGGCAGCTGCGGGGCCAGCTGGCTCCATCCCTGAGGTCTTTACTTGCTGATTAGCACCAGCTAAGGGCTGATCATTGTTGAACCAGGAGCAGCAGCAGGTAAAGGTGACTGGCTGTCATTTTCTTGTTAATTAGAGTTGAACATGTGCTGTGCGCTGATTTTCACTGTGGTTACAATCACAGTAATTTGAAATGTCCTGATGTGTACCCTTAAGAAATATTTAGCAGGCTTCTACCCTGTTCTAGACATTGAAAAAAACTTGCTCTGTGCTTAATTAAGCAAAGTTTTCATTGTGGCAAACTCTGTGGGAGATAATGGATTGCTAGTCAGACCAGCTGGAAGCCAAGGTGAGTAGCTCAGCGCGGTACATTATCGCTCCATGAGCTCACCTCGCAGTGTTGATTATGATTATTCGAATGATACTACAGGACAGCAAACATGTATAAGTGCTAATGAAAGAATTCATTATGATCAAAAGGCGGAGAGCAGCTCAAATATGTGTGTGAGTTATTGAGGGTAAATATTGTAGCACGGAGGCCAGTAGAACAGATGAACACAAAAGTGTAGGGTCCTCCCCAGGACATAAGCATATGGTAGGAGTTTGGGGGCATCCTCCCCTGTATCAGCTGTTGGACACATCAGATTCAAAAGGGCACCATTTTATTAGTGAGAGGAATCAGGGAGCAAGAAAATAACCATACTCTTTATGGTCAGTCAGAACAACTGTCATTAAATTTTCCACATCTTTACCTTTTTTTAAAAAAAATTGAATTGGGGTCTTTCTCTGTTGCCCAGGTTGGAGTGCAGTGGCAGATCCCGGCTCACTGCAGCCTTGACCTCCTTGGCTCAGGCAATCCTTCTGCCTCAGCCTTTCAAGTAACTGGGACTACAGGTGCGTGCCACCACACCCAGTTTGTTTTTTGATTTTTTTTTTTTTTTAATAGAGATGAGGTCTCGCTATGTTGCCTAGGCTGGTCTTGAACTCCTGGGCTCATGCGATCTTTGCACCTTGGCCTCCTAAAGTGCTGGGATTGCAGGTGTGAGCCACCAGGACTGGCCCACATTTTAAACTTGTTAGAACCTTGCTTTTGATTTACTTTAGTTTATTGGTTTTTCTCCTGCTTTCTAATTGATGCCTGATTAGATATCCCTGATATCTAAGATATCTAAGAGGTTTACATTAGATTTGGGGGGGGGGCATTTTGATTCAAAATGCAAAACATTAGTTAAAATCCTTTGGGGAAAAAATTTGGTAGAATTCAGAAGTAAGTAATATAGTATTTGAGATTTTATATTTCTATGATAATTTGTGAGGCAAGATGTTTTAACATCAAATAATGGTTGAATGATTACTATGTATTTGTCTACATTTATCCTGTTTTGGAGAGCCTGTGTACTTGGAATGTTGGAGATGCTAGATGAGAGTAAAACTATGTTTACTTGCATTTTTCTCTGTTGAATGCCTCTCAGTGCCTAGTTTCCTGTTCTGCTATGGTCCAGTTCAGTAGAACTTTGTTGATCAGGACCAAGTAATTTGAGTAATGGAATGATTCTTTGGAAAGTTGAAGAATCACATATGTAGACTTCTGTTGTATTCAATTTAATTTTGGAAGTTTTTATAATCAGTAGGAAGGTCAATAAAACAACAAAAATCTTTTAAAAATTACCCTGAGAGATCTCAGTGAGGATTGGAAAATAATTAGAATTTGTATCATAAACAACACCAGGGCCCTTTGCCCCTCTTCAATTTTACTTTGTATTTTACCACAGGCAAAATTTGATTCTGAAATGCCATGTGAAACTGTAAGTAAGATCCACTTAGTCGATCTTGCTGGGAGTGAGCGCGCAGATGCCACTGGAGCCACCGGGGTTAGGCTCAAGGAAGGGGGAAATATTAACAAGTCCCTCGTGACTCTGGGGAACGTCATTTCTGCCTTAGGTAGGTTTACATTTGTCCCTGCCACCTCTTTTTCCTTGCAGTACTGTATTTGGATGAAATATTACATTTAATGTTTGTGTTGCAAACTGAGGTGATATCCTCAGGGTTTTTATGAAGCAAAGATAGAGGAAACAAACAACATTACTAATTGCTCTTCTCCCCCTTTTATTTTCCTTCCCACAGCTGATTTATCTCAGGATGCAGCAAACCCTCTTGTGAAGAAGAAGCAAGTTTTTGTGCCTTACAGGGATTCTGTGTTGACTTGGTTGTTAAAAGATAGCCTTGGAGGAAACTCTAAAACTATCATGATTGCCAGTAAGAGTTTTAAGTTATTTTCCTGAGCATATGGTGTTTCCTGTGAATTAACTAAATATTGAAGTTTAAAGTATCTCATTAGGAAATAGCACCATTTATATCTTTAAAAAATGGTTTTTCCATCTTGATGAAAATCTAATATGGTCCAGTCTATACAGGATCATCTTCCTCACTATTCCACAGCTTTGCTGTGTTTTGGAAGCTGTGACAGCATGCAGAAAGACTCCTGGCTTTTTAAAAAAAGATTTAATTTTTTAAATTTTTGTTTAAATTATGAGGTATAAAGTCTAACTATAGTAACTTATCGGATAAAATCATTTTAGGGACACAAAGTACAAGTAACCTCACCTTTTTCTATTAAAAGCAGTAAATGCAGAATTTAAAATGAAGACTTGAGAGAGAAAAAACAAATATAACAAATAATGATAACAGTAATATATTTTATTTCTATATTTTGGCTGATTAACTGAAAGAAGCAGAATATGGACAAAAAATGTAGAAAGGGAAGCTGATTGTTGAGGAGAACTCAAGAACTGCTTCCCTCCTGATTCCCCTCCCCTTCCCTTCCCTTTCCTCTCTCTTCTCTTCCCATCTGCTCTCTCCATCCCCCCGCCCCCCATATACACACACGTATTAACTATGGTGGTAAGGGATCCGCCCTTGGGTATATACTCCCTGTGCAATTGTAGAGTCACCTAAACCTGAAAGGGTAGTGTTGGTGGGGTAGGATTAACCGAAGCTTTAAGAAGAAAAGAGTTATCTGATCTACTGACTTTTCAGAAATGATCACGTTTGGGGTTTTTACAGATGGTCGATTTTGCCAAAACTTAAAAATTTTTCCAATTTCTACTTAGTTTTTGATGTTACAAGTAGTCTTGAAAGCCTCTTCTTATATTTTCAACAGAGAAAAATATCTGACTATAGTGGGATATCCCATACTTTATTTTAGAGTTGGCCAGGTGATTGCTTCTAGATTTAAGAAGAACAAAATGGCATTTCACTTGGTATTGTGAGCATTCTTTCCTATAAATCTTGATAATTTTTAATATTCATTACTGTGGCAATGAATATTTAGTCTGTCCAATGACCTGGGGTTAATCTGACTTTCAAATTACAAACCAACTTTGTGTTAAATGAAACATGGAGTGCTGGATAAATTTTTTTGAATACATTCTTCACAGCCATTTCACCTGCTGATGTCAATTATGGAGAAACCCTAAGTACTCTTCGCTATGCAAATCGAGCCAAAAACATCATCAACAAGCCTACCATTAATGAGGATGCCAACGTCAAACTCATCCGTGAGCTGCGAGCTGAAATAGCCAGACTGAAGACGCTGCTTGCTCAAGGGAATCAGGTTGGGTTTTTCTGAGATTTATGGATAATTTTCTTTGAGTAATGGTATCTATTTCTAGATCTTAATGAGACAATTTTCTCACTCATGGTATCGATTTGAGTAAATAAGTGCTAAGTAAGGCTCTGAGTGAGTTAGCCAGTCCATGTTTTACATCAGTCTCCTACTGGTCTTTGCACTCATTATGGGCACTGTGTGTAAGATTTTATTCACTAAGCTTGCAATGATTAACTATCTAATAGTTATCTATTATGGATGGAAATTTAGTATGCAATGGGATTAGTGGTATAATCTCCTGTAGTGGAAAGAAATTGAGATGCTTAGAGTAATATTTAAATTCTACCCATGCGTTTTATGACTTTAAGGTGTATTTTAACAGAATGAAAGACTTCAACACCTTTCTGAATCTCTGTATCATATTGCCCATTATAGAGGTGGTTATAGTGGCTCAGTGACAAGTGTGTATTATACCTGTGGCCTGGGCAAGATGCTGAACCTGGGGCTTCACTTCAGGGTCTCTTGGGATTCTAGTGCCTTGTCATTGTGTTTTTCACAGTAAACTTCCTTACAGTCTGCTTGGTTGCAATCTGTGATGAATGGTGTGAGTTAAATTCTGGGAGGCCTAGATACTGCTGTGAAGAAAGGCCACCCTTGAAAGAAAATCAAGGATAGTTTTTTTTAAATGTTGAAATTAGACTAAAGTGAAAAATAAAGATACACTTCCTCTGTTTTCTTGAACCTGCGAAGGGATGTCTTAAGTGTATCATGAAAAGAAACACTTTTCTTTAAATGCAAAGTGCTGTCTCTAGAACAGTGCTTTCTATGTAGGATTATGTGGCATATGAAACTCTTGACATTCCATACATGGTTTGACCTATGAAAATGTTGGCAGGCTGAAAACCTCACTGTATTTCCTGTATCCTAAAATATGCCTGGCAGTTCTTTCCTACAAGATGGTGGACAGCAGTTAAATAGACTTATTCATTGTGCTAAAGAGTATCTCCAAATACATCTTACTTTATGATGTGGAGCGTCTCTTGTATGAAGGGAAGTTGTCAATGTGAATAGTCCAGCTCTGTGTGATGTTCTGAGGCTCTTATAACATGAGCCACAGTAGTCGTTTTCATTTATATACTTTGTTATTGAGACCTTTTCAGAAATGTTTTTAAAACATTATTTGTCTAAAGTAAGAATTTAATGATGATTTGATAGGATCACTCAAATTACTATGTGTGAAGGAAAGTACTTGAAAGGTTAAGTTCAAGAAGCTGCATGTAGAATTTTAACCTAGTGAAAAGTTAAGACAATGAAGGAAAAAAAGAGAGTATCCTTTTAAAACTAAACTGAGGAAATCCTTGAAAGAAGCCTTATTGTACAGACAGAAAAACTTTAATTTATTAAAATTTTTGCACATTCTCTCTGAAGTATACCTTCAGTCGTATTGGTATGCCAGATTGTTGCCTTATATTTTGTGATTTTTTTTCTCATTCTTTTCATGACCTAAGACTGTACTTAAGGGAGTATTTTTGTTGCTGTAGTTTTGGGGGTGAGGATGGAAAAGACAGCTAAGTTTGTACTTTAACACACATTTGATGATAAAATTTTTAATAAATGCAATACTTTGCAGTCACAATTTAAAATAATTTATCATACTATGATACTATAGGTTGTTTTGAAACAATACAGTCTTATCCTAAATTAATACAATTTGTGATGCTCATTAAAAAAGCAGGTGTTCTTAAATGCCCATTCAACATCTCTGTATAAATTTTTTTGAGGACGTTATTCCATTCCACATGTTGCCATGATTCATTGAGAAGATTATCCAAGTCAAAATTTCATTTCTAGGGTTACCTAGTTAGGAATACTATGAGAAAGGCTTTGGCAGTAGTGGGAAACTGTCAAGGGAGGGGAGTGGGATTGGCAGTTGAGGGAAACTGCTAGGGGAGGGAAGGGCATACCTCATCAACAAAGGGCACCTGCATAGTCAATGTTTGTGTACCTAACCTTGAATTGTTCCCCACATCTTTATAATAAAAAAAATTAGGTTAACAACAACAACAACAACAAAAATGAATTTTACTTAGTGTAAAAAAACAGCTAAATTAAAAAATCATCTACTTTTAATAATTTTATGTATTTACCATTATGAAATATCATGTGCATCAGTTTTTTTTTGTTTTGTTTTGAGTTGGAGTCTCACTCTGTCACCCAGACTGGAGTGCAGTGGCCACTCCCGGCTACCGCAGCCTCTATCTGCTGGGCTCCGGCGATCCTTCTGCCTCAGCCTCCAAGTAGCCGGAATTACAGGCATGCGCTACCATGCCCGGCTGATCTCACTTATCTAGTCTACTTTTGGTAGGCATTTCGGGAATTTCCTGTTTGGGGCTATTAGTGCTGCTATTGACTTCCAGATGTCTTTTAGTGAACATGTAGATGGATTTCTGTTAGGTTTATGCCTAAGAATAGAGTTGGTGTTCAGTTTCAGTAGATATTGCCAAACAGTTTTCTAAAAGTGGTTATACTAATTTTTAGTCCACCATCAGTGTATGAAAGTACAGTAATAGTTGCTACAGATTCTTGTCAGCACTTGGTATTGTCCAGTTTTCATTGTAACCATTTTGATGGATAGATACCAGTATCACAGGATAATTTTACTTTGCACTTCTCAGATGATTAATGAAGTTGAACATTCGAATTATCTTCTCTTTTCAAGTGTTTGTTCTCTTTTTATTATATTTAAACATTTTCAGATATTTCTTAAATTTGCAGAGAGAAAACATCTCATGACTCTCTTGAATGTATCTGAGACAGCAAGTAAATTAAACCATATGGAAATGAAATAAGCAATGAAAGTTAGGAAGCAAAGAAGACAGTGGGAAAGAGAAGAGGAAATAGAATGAATCACTCATTTCTTTGTAACTGGGTTATAAGATAATTTTTAAAGTATCATATGTAAACGTTTAAGGAGACTCATTTCAGGATCACAAAGTAAAACTCAGTTTTATGTTGTTTGTGTGAAGGAGCAAAGGCCAACCAGCTAATTCAAGTGGAGAGAAAGCAGTGCAAAAACAGCAGGTTGTAAGCTTGAAAAAGAAGCACTTAATCACAACAAAGAGCGCAGTTAAAATCAGATGTGACATCAACTTTCATGAAGAAAAAAACTTGGAATTAGCAGGAGACAGAGCAACATGCATTTGCCACAGAAAACTTGAACTCTTCTTTCTCATTCTGTGAAAGCTCACATAGACAATAGTAAGGATATGGCATATTTATATAACATATATTTATATAACACAAACATATTTATATAACACAGATTTGCTCTAATCAGTACAAATCAGGAAAAGATTTCCACCAACGCAATAAAAGACTACTTTCTTTGTTTCTAAAAGAGCCTTTATATAAAAAAACAAAAATAAAAACACCACAACCCAACATAGAAAAAAAGAGTTTCAAATGGCTTACTATATGTATGAAACGTCATTTGAAATACAATAAATGCATGTTTTAAGAATAGAGAAATGGGTATACATAGGTTTGTTTATGGATATATCAAGCAGTGGACCTAAGATTTGTGCATTTGGCTGCACGTAAGTTATGGCTCAAAGTTCTTAAAAAACAGAATGTGCTTTTCACCTGTTAGATGGGCAAATATCAAAGAGCTTAGATTATACAGTATATTGACAGCTGTAGGAGACAAGAACTGCTTGAGTTGATATTACTACACTTTTGTAATAGTGTTTTTGAGGTAGTGTTACACTTGGTTTAACAACATGCAAACTTAATCTAAATATTATTTAATCCTGAACATTTTGCTTCTAAACAGACATCTTATAAGGAATAATTTAATTGAAAATAGTTTACTTTTATCCAATATTTCTTTTAAAAGAACTTAGGTCTTTCTTTATATGTGCTTCAAAATAATTTTCCAGACGGGCTGGTGGTCATAATAGCCTTTGTGCATCTATTCAGTCAGTGATTATATAATTAGTTGACAATATGGTAGAAATATTTCAACTTTAATTATAGATTAAAAAGTCCCAACAGTGGATTCTTAAATTTACCCACATTATAAAGGGCTATATAATTGTTTTGAAATTTGTCAACCCTACATATAAACAATACAGTCATATTAACATCTGCCACTTTCATTTCTTCATGAAAAATATTTATTAAGTACCATCTGTGTGCAAGACAACATGTTAGGTGCAATAATGTGTTGTAGTAATGTGTTAACAAAGCTCCTTTTTCTTCATTGAGGATGGGTTTGACCTTGGGTTAACTTTATGACTTCATTCTCTCTAAGCCAGATAAAAGCGGAATGCCAGCTGTCTAACCAGGCAACATAAAAATGACCCCATTTGGTGAATTGCATCTAGATTAGGGTGAACTATATATAAACTGTAAAGGCCAGCTGCAGAGCCATAGTTTTGAGTTTCTATAAAGGCAGTGACTCTTGTAACTGGGAGTGCTCCTTGCAGACATGTCTATGGCATTGTTAAAAGAGATGCTGGATCCTTTGAGCATGGGCTTCTAAACATGTCCATGTGAATCTTAGCCCCTCACATGAGTGGTTACTCGGAAGGGCACAGACGGTAGCTCCTGGACATCTTTGAGGACTACTGAATTTACTGTCATGAGGGCCTTGCCCACCAAGACTGATGCTTTGCTCCCTGCTGGGCAGCTCTGCTTTCTATTGAGTACACAGTTGCCAAGTGCAACTCACGAAAGTCTTTTTAGTTTGCATGTTTAACTGAACCTAAGAAGACCACCCCATGGGTGTTTTTGTAGGAATGGGAATTGGAAAAATTAATAGTTACAAAACCATACTGCAGCCTCTGGGAAGGACAACTTGGCAATTTAAAAAAAGCATACATGTAAATGACTCACAAATCCTTCTTGTAATTTATTCTGTTAATAGAACCATGTATACTGTGGGCAGCTGGCATAAGGATAGTCATTGTAGCATTGCTGGTAAAACAAAAGATTAGAAAAAAACTACATTTTCATTGACAGAAGAGTACTAACATGAGTCGTAGAATTTTCAAACAATGGTATACTATACAATGAAATTGGAATTGTTATAAAGAATGAAGAAGCTTTATTTTTACTGAATTTTCCCCAAGATATATTGTTGAGTAAAAAAGGCAATATTCAGAATAATGTTTATATATTGCTTATGTTTTAAATATACAACAAAAACATACTTGCGTATGACCAGAATAACTAAGTTTACACAACCAAGTTGGGAAAGAGCCATTGCCGTTGGGTGGGGTGGGAGGAAGACTCCCTCTCTTTTTTCTTCCTAATCATATCTTAGGCAGTGAGCAAGTTAGACAGAAGAAGAATAGGAAGCACAGTGTCCCTGCAACTCAGACTAGGAACTAAACTGTTATGGGTGCAGTTGAAGTCCCAGTTTGGTTCCATTTTCCTCTCCCGCTGTCTGTTTGTCGTTCCCAGTTTTAACCGATTTTGACGTTTATCCTTTTCACATCAATCTTTACACTTCTGCAACTTGGAGAAGGAAATGGGTACAGAGATTGTAGCGTAGTAGCCATGTCCCACATGGAATACCACCTAGCAGTGAAAATAAATGATATTCATTTACATATATCAGCAATGATGGACCTCAGAGGCCTTTGGTTGAGCAAGACTTAGGCATCGTACTTTTTGAATTTTTACTTGGTGCATATTCAAAAAGAAGAATTCTTAAGAGCTAGGGATTTAGATCATGTTTGATTTCAGTAAAATGTCAATATGTTACAACTTTCGCTTTGCTGATTTGTATTGCAAATGTCAGTGTACTGAGGTGCCATGGTTTTGAATATGAGGTATGTGTTCCATGGGTTAAAGACTTGGTGATGGTGGACACTTTTTTGGGGGGTGTGGGGTATTGCATTTTACCTTTATATAATAGTATAGTGCCTTTGTAATTTTTGGTAATTTCTTGTATTCCTGGAAGAATCCTCTAGATGATTGCTGTTTGTTAATTGCTGATCTCTTGCATGGTTCAAATTACAGATTGCCCTCTTAGACTCTCCGACAGCTTTGAGTATGGAGGAAAAACTGCAGCAGAATGAAGCAAGAGTAAGTGATACTTTGACTTATTTCTTTTTAAAAGCATAACTTTCACTATTATTTTAAGTGCATGCTTTTCAGGGCTTACTGTTTGAGACTCATTTTCTTTTTGTATTATGCTTAGCCTTCTCCTTTCCTGATGATTATTTTTAAAGAGTCACAATAGTTGACTTTTTACATAGGCATCACATTTTCTGCGATTTAATAAATGGGATTTGTTTGGCACATGATAGTTAACTACAACTAAATTGATATGCATACCCTCCTGACAAAGCAGTGAGGTCACTTGGACCTTCAGGGTAGATATGAGCTCTGAGTCAAGGGGGGCCAAGTTCAACGTTTGTGAAGCAGCAGTGGTCCTCATAGCTTCTTGAGCACCACCATTTAGTTTTTTGTCATCCCTTTACTTTGTTTCCAGTGGGAAACCCAGCACTTGGGGAATCTCTGATTACTCTAGATAGGTGCTTAGTTTTTCTTATGCTAGATGAGGAAGGGAGAGAGTAGAAGGGTGTAACCGGAAAAGAGTGGTTATGGGCTGAAGCCAATGTATGTGTTGGTGCATTTGGAAATGTGGCGCTTTTGGAAAACCGGTTTTATGACTGCCAAGGTGCTATGCTATTTTTTGTTTGAAAAGAAAACCTTCTATGAAAAGAGAAATAGGTATTAACAAATTTTGGAGTAGATTTTGTTCATGGTGCCAAATGATTAAAACAGATTGAAAAAGAAAATTGGTTTCTCTTGGTAAAAGCACTATCAAGAATATACAATATGGGAGATAAAAATTGGGTTGTAGTTAGGAACTTGTTGACATGTCCCCTAGACAATTATGCTGAATAGTATGCTGTTAATCGCATTAGTAAAAACCTTAGTTTTTTAATCCCTGTTTTGTTCATGAAATCTTATGTAGTAGTACTTCAATTTCTAATTTAGAATACTATAATTTAAATTGTATATGAATGTAATCTTAAATTGTTTCTCAGTAATAGTTTTCATTAATACCAAGCAAGTTAATAGAAACCAATAAACATATTAATTTGAATGTTTTATACATGCTGTGACAGAAATGACTACCTATCTTGTTCCTAACATTTTCTAAATTTTCATCTAGCTTTTTGCTGACCCTTTTTAATTGTTTGCCATCTGTTTGGTTATAAATCTCATCACCTGATCACATTGTTAGAGGTGGTATCACATATTTGCATTTTATTAATGTTTTAAATGAGTATTATTTGATTTAAATAAAATGGTAAAATAAATCCATGGCATACATATTATTATTTTTAAAGCTAGAAGTAGCTGATTGGATTCAAAAGGATTGATTCACTCATATTTCTTCAGTGAGAAGCTCATCTGTTGGCAAAATGCAGAATTATTTGTGTTGAATGCTTTGTGCTCTCAGATGAATTGCCAGTGACAGTCTGTTAACTGGTTAGTAAAAATTAGGAAATTCACTATATCAGTCTTTCCCTTCTTTGTGAAGTGAAAACATAAGAATATTCCCTTTCTGGATACTTTTTCAAAACAAAAAGCCCTGAAAGCCATGTGACTTTTGTTGCTATCATGATACTGTGGAGTTGGTACTGCTCATGTGATGAGATGAAGGACTGAAGTGTAGGACTGGTTTCAGATAACTCAGGACATTTTTATCAAACAAGTAAAAATAAGCAAAACATAGAGAGGCACTTTCAGTTCTGTTTCTTTTGTTTTTCACTGAGAGGATGGTAGATTTTGACACTAATAACTAGTAAAATAAGTGACATTATTTAAAGAAAGAGTTAGCCGGGCTCAGTGGCTCAGCCTGTAATCCCAGCACTTTGGGAGGCTGAGGTGAGTGGATTGCCTGAGTCCACGGGTTCGATACTCGCCTGGGCTTCTTGGTGAGACCTCATCTCTACAATAATCAAAAATTAGCCAGGCGTGGTAGCGCACCTGTAGTTTCAGCTACTTGAAAGGCTGAGGCGGAAGGATCGCCAGAGCCCAGAAGGTGGAGGCTGCAGTGACTGGGAGTGGCCACTGCACTCCAGTCTGGGTGACAGAGTGAGACTCCAACTCAAAAAAAAAAAAAGTTAACTTAGATTTCTTACAGTCTTACTTGAGGTAAATTGAGGAGCAAAACGAATGGCCACTGAAAGACTGACCACAGGTGGGTGCAATATGTTTTGGTTTTCCTCTTGGATAAACCATTACGCCTGGTCCTCCATTTCTGGTCAATCACCAATGAGTTCATAAGTGTGCTGATGTGAATACCCTTTCTGATGACTACACTTAATGGCATGTAGGAAGTTTCTTAGCAATGAGAATATAACAAATGTGTTCTGTGTGTGCATGTTGACCTGGTTAACTTGCCAGTGGGAAAATCAGGAGACTTAAATGGGCTGGTGTCTGCTGCTGAGTGAAGAGGAAGCAGGAATGACCAAGGCTTGGGAAGGATGAGTTCTCCCCTTACTGAAGCTGCTCTTTCTTAATCTTTTCCACAGAACACATTTTTCATTCATTCAGCTATCACTTTTTTGCTTCTTAATCTCTAGGATTGCCTAAGAAGTTTTTTGGAATTAGCAGAATATTTCTGTTAACGTTGAGAAGCAGTTTCCAACTGTACTATATGTTCAACAATTGGGGATATTTTATATTTTTTCCCTATGCTAGAACAGATTGGAAAGAGGCGATTTTTATCAAAAGATTTTTGCTTTTACTAAGAGTCAATTAAAGAACTACCTTTAAAAAAACAAAACAAAATGAGATTTATAAACCCCATTAATTAACTGCAAAAGCAGATTATCTCCTAAAAGAAAGCTGTAGCATCCAAGGTGATTTAGTCACCACACCTAATTAGAAGGAAAAAAATAAATCACTATTTCTTAGGATCTAAAGTATAATCATGAAAAATTAACCTGTTTAATGAACTGTTGTCATCCTTAAACTTGGAATTTTGGTTAATAATCTAAGGAAGCAGATTTTATTTAAGTAGACTGGGAAAAAGACTTGTAAATTCTAGGCAAATTACAAATTTCTGTCTGTTCTTTCATTTGTCATAATGTAGGTTTAGGCTGAGATCATCTTGCTTGATTTATATTTTGTATTGGTTCTTTCAGGGGTAAAATTTGGTACCTAATTAAACAAATTATAGTTCATTCTTTCATGAGCTGTTAGAATTTGGAAGCGTGCTATAAAAACACCATAGACATTTTCTTATGGAACAGTCACATATGTATATTTTTCTTTTTAGGTTCAAGAATTGACCAAGGAATGGACAAATAAGTGGAATGAAACCCAAAATATTTTGAAAGTAAGAACTGTGGAAAGGTGTTTAGTCTTACTATGCTGGATTAAATAGGTACAACTTTTTTTTCTCCTTTTTAACATGCAATTGTGTACTTCAGGTAAGATCAGTGGAACAAATTAGTGGCTTCTGTGGGATGGGGGTTCTGGTTTGATTTGAAGAGCTGGGAAAGGAGACTGTTAGATGCTACAGCTGTGTGTTTGAACATGTACGGGTTATGTTGCTGTTTAAGATTTTTGCTTTTACTTGTTGGAGTTTTTCTATTGTTGACTGAGCACATATTAGAACACTATTTATTATTCAAGGGTATCCACTTTGCCTTTCTGCTTTTGTTAAAAGTCAATACATTAAATGAAAAAATTTCCCGTGGTAATATTGTAGAATATGCTTGCAAAGCATGGCATGGCTAGATTTCATAAATTTCTAAACTAGTAATTTCCTATGAAAATATTTTTCTGCATGTCTCAAGGACTAGACTGGATGGTCTGCATTTCTGGCAAGACTCACTATGAAAAGATGTCAGTAATAGCCTTCATTTTTCATACTCAGTGTTTTGAAATGCAAGTTTCTTTTTGTTCCCGGTTTGTGGAAAACCTCTGTCATCTGTGGGGGGCCAGCTATACCAGGTTTGAGGTTCAAATTTGAATTTTATGTTTTCATAGGGTCTGGCTGACTTTATGCATGAAATAAGGCACTTCAGAAGCTCTTGAATCCGAGGTTTGTTTTTAAGGTCTGTTGAGGTAAAACTTTCCCAAAGGACTCAAATCTCTGTCTGATATTGGTGGCTAGATGAATGAGGCTTTACTTGAATGTCTTGGCAGAACCCTGACTTGGGTCTCCTTGAAAATGGCACACCCATTTACTGTTTCATGGGGGCAGACTTCTGAAGGTCTGGATTCACCAGGGAGTTCTGTGTCGAACAACTGTTGGTGAGCACGGGATCAGCATTATATTATGTAAAGTTCTCCTTGTACCATTGAGGCAACTTGGCCTGCGCTGGGAGTTAAAATGATTGTTTCTCATGAGGTCAGAAGTTGTGCTTAAGTTGTAGATGGTGGTGAGTCATGATGGGCTTAGAGATATTCTTTCCAGCTACTTCTCACTGCAAGAAGTGAGAGTTTCTGTGTTTAGACTTTTCTTTTCTCTCCTCCTGATTGTAATGATAATGTCCCATTATTTTCAGGTACTTCACAGTATTTCCTTTGTTGAGAGATTTTTGTGCAAGAAACTGAGCAAAGTCTTTACTTGTATCTCACAGTACTCAGATGTGGAATAAGCTTGCCAAAGGCGTGACTTTTTTTGTTTAAGATGCAGCTACTCCAAGGTGATGCCTCAACCCCTGAAGCCCAAGTCATTTGACTTTCTATGCCATGATGTAACTTGCCTCAGGAAATTTTCCAAAGAAGGAAGACTAACGTCTTCTCCATTTAGGGAAAGAAAGAAATCCGTTAGCTATTTGAAAAGTCATTACTACATGGCGTGCCCGTTAGCACAGGAGGCAATGCGGCGAGAAATTGAAAGATTTAAGCTTCATCTCTGCTGCTGCTGTGCATTCTCCTTGTCACTGTAGTAGGGGGTTTATAAAGGTATCCGCACCAGAGTCATGATGGTGAAGCCCTAAATGCTTTCTTATTCTTATGGGTTATTTTGAGCCCTAAAGTAAATCCTCCTTCAATTCCAAACCTATTTTTTATATGTCTAATTATTTTTACTTTTTATGACTTTTCAGGTGAGGAGAAAAAAGTGATAGGCTCTATGTGTTAAATGCTATTTCAAATTTTTCCCTTCCCTCAACCCTGTAAACCCATTTTAGATTGCTCTGAGGGTATTTGTGCTTTAAGTCTGTAGTCATTTTCTGCTCACATTTGATATTTCAAGGGCTGTCTTCAACTCTTATTGGAAGACGTGCCTGAGGGCTAAGGTGAAGAAGAGGGCTGCTCAAATGCTTTTTAAGAAAACATTCTTTAGAAATTGTTATTCCATTAGTTTGAAACTGCATGGTTTTTGTGATTCTCTCCCATATTTCCACTGTCTGTGTGTTCTGTCAGTCAGTTGTTATTCCAGAAATGCTGCATTAAATCTACTGCAACTCAGTGGCAACCGTCTGTGCTGTGTGCTTTTATTTCCCATTTCAGTTCTGAAATTTGAGTTTAGTTTACCCACATGTATTATGGGGAGTTGCTTCAGGAGTATAGGTGAACCCCTTCTCATGCAGAGGTAGGAATGTCAAGTCATTGTGTAGAGTAAAGGTCCCTTGAAGTCATAGTTACCCTTGAAAGTCCTTCACATATCCATCATTTATTTTTCCTAACCCAGTGCAATTGGCTGGGTGTTAGCTGCTCAAGTCTGGTTCATCTGGGCTCAGTCCAGGCTGTAGTTCGGTTTCTAGCATGTTTTATATGTCTCTTGTCTTCTTGGACCAGCTGATAGTCTGGGCCATGCTCTTCTTATAGTGTTGACCAAGGTACAAGCAGACAGGCTTAGTCATGCAAGTACACATCAAGCCTATTCATGTATTGTGTCTGCCAGCATCCCCTTGACCAAATGCAGGCTACTTGACTGAACTGGAAGTCTAGGGGAGAAAGAAGTATGTTTCATCTCAGTGAGGCCTTGTAAAAGTATAAATGAAGAATTCTATTTTGGGACCAGTGGTTTCATCTACACATGCCCATCTGAAAATATAAATCTTCAAATTCTGGGGATTTACTCTTCTACTAAATTTGCACATTTTGTAGAGACAGAACCAGCAAAGCAGTAAATTCCCTGGATTATCTTCATCGTCAGAATGCTGTTGTTAACTTTGCCCATTTGTCAATCATTATCTCCTCCAAGTACTCTGTGTCCAAGGAGAGACGCTTGGAGAGAAGGTTGAGAAAGTTAACACTCCCAGGGCATTGAAAGAGGTATATGAGGGCCACTTTAGTGCTTGTGGGCACAGTAAGAAGAATGTCAAGGAGCTGCTTCGTGACCCCTTTTATTAGAGAATCATTTCACCGGAGACTCATGGGTGTTGTTTGAAGAGAGGACTAGCGAAAAGAGTATAAACCATCTTCTCAGTAATCAGAATTATCTTTGTCATTGATAAGCTGCCTATGCTGTGTGCTTGTGTGTCTTTGTTCAGTTTTGAGACTTGAGATTAGTTCATCAGCATACTTCATAAGGAGTTGCTTCAGCAAAATAGGAGAACTCCTTCTCATGCAGGGGTAGGAGTCTAAAGTCTGTGTGAAGGACAAATGTCTTTTGAAGTCCAAGTTATTCTGGAAAGTTCCCTACATTTCCTTGGAAATCACCAGGTACTAAGTTTCTGTTTGCTCAAAAGCGAGGAGTGACTTTGTTCCCTTGTTTTTGTATCTAGTCTGGGCATCCCTGTTCCAGATGAGTGGCATCCGCTGTCCTGTCGAGGGAGGGTAGAGGGAGAGTGAGGGACCATTGCATGGATTCTGCTCTACAACAGGCACTGACTGTCTTCAGAAGAGCTGATGGCAGCATGGAGGTAGTGACTGGAGCCTCGGGCTTTTATCCTGGGAACTCGAAACTCGGATCTTAGGCCTCAGTTCCCTTTCTGACTCGGGGTCATGACAGTCATCCATAACTGTCACACGCCCTGCTTCCCTGCTTGGAAGTCACAGCAGATGGCAGCCTCTTTCTTATGTTCAAGCTGACAGCATAAGCAATCCCAGCGTTCTGAGTTATTTTGAAAGTGTTTGACAGTAGAGCATGTGCATATATTAAAGAGGCAGGTCTCAGCAGTCAGGTAATGAGAGAAAATTTTATTAGACTCTACAATGTGTTCTGTGTATCCACTCCCTTGCCCCTTAATCTACATTCTGCATATTCGTAATCTTCATTTTTTTCTGAAGTATAAACTCCTTGCCTGGGCTTGTATGGGCTTCCTTTCTCAGCTTCATCTGTTCTATTACAGTTCTCTGTGCCCACCACCTCCATCCCACCTTGCCTGATGACTTGGGTATCCCTCCCAAACCCTGTGCATGGGCTTTGGGTTTCTTGGTGTCTCCTGATCTTTGCCTGTGTTGCTCCATCATTCCGGTTGCTTTCCTCTTTCTGTGTCTCCATCAGAATCCATCTGGAAGCCCTCCTCGATCACTCCTCCTCTCTCTTCTACTTCCCAGTTAGGGGGAATTTGTTTTCCTCTGTGCTTTTGTAGCTTGCAGTTTTGCTTCAGTCTCAGTATTCGTCATCACCTGAGTTAGGTGATACTGGTTTTTCCCTCTTTCTGCCAGCTGTTACGCACAGTAAGACAGGAGCAGGATCTGACCAAGGACTGTCTCATTATCATTCTGCGAGCCAGCTTCTAGAGCTTTGCTTCTCACAGAGCAAACATGCAGTGAAAACGTATGGGTTTAAGTTAGTATTAAGAAAGAAAATAAAAACCTTTGTATTAATCTGCTAGGGCTGCCAAAACGAATTACCGCAGACTGGGTGGCTGGAACAACAGAAATGTATTTGCTCACAGTTATGGAGGTTGGAAGCACAAGATCAAGGTGTTGGCAGTTTTGGCTTCTCCTGAGGCCTCCCTCCCAAGCCTGCAGATGGTCACCTCTTCTGTGTCCTCACATGGCCTTTTCTTTGTGTGCTTGCACTCCTGGTCTTTCTCTGCCAATCCTAATCTTCTCTTCTTATAAGGACACCAGTCAGATTGGATTAGGGCTCATCCTAAAAGCCTCATTTTAATCACTTTAATTAATTAATTGCAACTTAATCAAAGGCTCTGTCTCCAAATACAGTCACATTCTGAGGTATTGGAGGTTAGAGCTTCAACATTCAAATGATGCGGCTACCCAAGGCAGCCCTTAACAACCCTGGACCGTACAAATCTGATCACCTGGTGGGAAGAGTGGCAGGGAATATTGTGCCTGCAGTAGGCCTGCCCTGGTGATGCTCCTCCTTGTGTGTTCCATCTCATTTTTCTTATTCCTACGTGAAAGGTGTGTGTATGACTGTGCATTTTTATTCTTGGGGGAAGATAGCTCAGTCCCACACTTGGA